TACCTAATTTCTCATAGAAGATAAATGGAATACACTATGTATATAAGACATATGATTAGGTAATAATAACATATAAGCAAAATTATCAATGCTTTTTATGATATAAAAAATTCTGATGTATCTTGGACTAAGCTTACTGATTCTCTCAAATCTGTTGACACCTTTCATTATGCTAACTTTAACATAAACAAAGTTGCTAATCTTAACTCGACCAACCTCCATTTCTAATCATAATATTTCTCCTACATATCTTGTGCTGATCTAAAGCTTTATATGATCAAATCAATCTTTGTTTATAGTGTTATTTACAAAGGATGACCCTATCAACTTTCTATCTCCAACCTCTATTAAATTCAAAGGAGTCTTGTACTTCCTATCATATAGGGCTTCGTAAGGATCCAAACATATGTTGGACTGATAATTATTATTATACACAAACTCTATTAGCAGTATATAATCCTCCCAACTACCCCCAAAGAAAATAATATAAAGTCTTATAAGATCCTCTATTATCTCAATAGTCTTTTTCAGACTGTCCATCTATCTGTAGATGAAAAGTCATACTAAAGTACAATTTTATACTCAGTCCTTATTGAATATCTCTCATAATCTAGAGGTAAATCTACTGTCACGATCAAATATAATTGAAAGCATAGCGATGCCAAAAAATAGCCGCCATGGTATTTATGTATTTGTTCAATAATAATTCAAGATTCAACAAGTGGCGCTACGGTGCTGAGTTGAAGCATTGAGACACTAGGCCACTATATATAAGCAATAATCCCTCATGAATGATGTGGCTTGCTTAGGAAGGCAAGAGAGAAGAGAGATAAAGGGAGAGGAAGAGGAGAGAGACAGAGGATTTGGTCATTTTCATTTGTCGCTATTGATCATATTGAATCATACAAGTGGTAATTGATCGAGTATTGATGATATTGAACATTACTGAGTATATTGGTTGAGATGAATATGTATATTGGTTTCTTAGATTTTGTAATGAAAGCTTTAGTGAGTTCTTGGTTTCTATTAGACTTTGTAAGCTCATTATGTGATTTTAATTAATTTTAGATCAGGGAATGGGTCTAGACCAAGTGAAATTGATTAAGATCCTTAAGTTCTTTTTTTTTTTTTTATTTGGTTATGTATTTGTTTTATACTTTTGTAGTTTGGAGTTTGAGATAGATTATAGATTGTAAATGATCTCTTGGCTATTGTAAATATAATTTTGAGGAATGAATAGTGAAATATTTTGATGTATATTATTTTAGTTATTTCCACTAAATTAATTTATATTGATAAATTCATAGAAGTTCTGGTTGATTATTTAAGTTATTAAAATAAGCAATTTTTCTAAATTTGATCTTGCAGTTAACGTGAAAAGTACACCCCGACAATATAAAACATGATGAAGTGATAGGAAGATTTGTTTTGTACCCATAAAAAGATACATATTTAAGTAATATTATAAAAAGAATATATTAGAGTAAACAATAGAAGAGAAACTAAACTTTATTTCATTTTTATAAATTCAAATAAAAACACATTATCAAAACATAACTACTATAAACAAAAGAGAATTGAAAGAAATAATTACAAAACCTAAGCCTAAAAACAAACCTATGAATGACCTACAATAAAAATTAAAAATATCAAATAGATTCTACGTATGGTAGATCTGCTTGTGTGATGATGGCCGCCTAACACTTCGGTTGAGCCTATTAAGTATAGTGATAACAATGAATGAGTTTGATAAATCGAAATCAGCAAATAACTTATATTGATGAAAGTATAAATGATAAGGAGGTGTTGTATGCAATATGAATAACAAAAAGATAAGTGCAATAATAAAATAATCAACATATCTATATAACAATGTCATATGTAATAGTTTCTATGACAAATTCTAATATGTTGATATTATACTTGTATATGCAAAATGTTACAAATGGAATATCATTCCAATGTTTACACATGCAATCCCGTTAGGCATCATTGTATCTCAATATGACTTATCAGTCATTCATCATTTTTATCTCATGTATATATATATATATATAAGAACTTTGAGATTAAAAAATAAATAAAATTCATATATATATAATATAATACATAATTTTAAAATTAAATATAAATATTATTGTATTTATATCAATATATTTAATAAAAATAATTACTAATTTTAAATTTAAATATAAATATCTTCAATCTTTGATTTTAATTTTTATTATATATATATATATATATATATATATAATATTTTATTTTATATTTTGGTATAATTTTAAATCTAATATAATTATATATATTTCACATTATAAAACTATTTTATAAAGTAATACAATATTATATTTTTATTAAATTATTTATTCTTCTTAATGTCATTTAGTTTCACATTTATAGAGAAGTTTTAGAATTTTTAAAATTATAATAATAATTTTTTTGAATAATTATAATATCAATAATTATATATTTTAAGAACTTTAAAAATTGTTATAATTGCTTTTTATTTGAATATTCTATACAACAATTTCTACAAATTCTTATAAAGCATACATCATCCACATATTGTTTAAACTAGAGACTACTAGTTGTTTAATCTCATATCATTTAGGAGTTTTATGTTGTATTGCTTATACACCTTTTCTTATATTCACGGGTTAAGAGCCCACATTGGGTAAAAGAATCATGTGGGTATGAGTAACTAGTATTTAATATATAATATTATAAAATTTTCAAAATTATATTATTACTATTATTTTTTGAATTATATCATAATTAAATTAATTTAATATTTATATTAAATTAAATTATTTAAATATATTATTAATTGAACCGGCCGGTTCTTAAGAATCGATCCGGTTAATGGTCAGCCAGTTTAACTAACGGTTCAAATTGGTTTTCACCGGTTTGATACTAGATTGGTTTTTAAGGATAACTGAATCAGCCATAGGACCAGTTCACGGTTGAACCGATCGAACAGGTTGGTTCGATTCGGTTTTCAAAATCATGAATAAAACATCTAATTTAAAATGAAATGAAATATTTTAAAGACCAAGCCGGTTTCATAAAACTTGGACTGGTTTGATGGTTTTCCGATTGAACATGTGGTTCAAACTGGTTCAAGCCATTTTGATGCACACGATTTTCGAATTTGATCGAACTAGTAACTTGGTCGGTTCACGGTCAAATCCATTGAACCAGTTGGTCTAGTTTGATTTTCAAAATATTGGTTGATAAATATTCAAGGTGGTAGAAAAAAAGAGTTTATCAAGTTATTGTTGCATAAAAATCTAACACACACATATATAAATAACCTATAATAGATAAAGGCATAAGAATTCCTATGTGAAAAATTCAAAAAGGAAGAATCATAGGACATAACTTAAATTGATCCAATTTTATCATGTTGGTTTTCCCATTTAAATTTTTCATGCAAAAGACTGCGTATCTTCTATGAGTTACTCTCAACATATTTATATATGTGCAAGATTCACATAATATTAATGGGCCATTTGGTTTGTTTTGCAAAATAAAGCATAGTAAACTAGAATACAGTGCATGATTGAATATAATTTATTTGAAATATTTGGAGCTATTTGAATGAATGTAAAATAAATACAAGTGTTTTTTTTTTTTTTTTTTTTTTTTTTGGTTTTAGGTAAAATGAATATATGATAAAACTCAATATTATCGGTGGTCGGCTGCGGCATGGGATGTTCCTCATCGATGGCGAGCGGACAAAAACAATGAGCAGGAATGGATGGCATCCAATGATGATGGGCAGTGGTCCGTGATCAAAGAAGAGTTAGTTTGTGTTGTATTTTGAAATTCGGTAAAAAGTAGGTGAGTTTTGAATTCATAAAAAATGAACTACAAAGTGAATTTGGAGTTCACTAAACTTTTACTCCATATTCTTTATTCATCAAACCAAATAGCAAAACTTCTAAGACATCTACATTTAGAATACTTTATACCTTTTTTATCAAACCAAACTGTCCAGGAAATGAACAATCTATATACTGTCTCAAATTATAAAATATAAAACTCAGAAGAATAATCATCTTTATTCACTATGTCGCAATGGTATGATATCTTAGTAAATATAAATATCAATATCACAAAAATTAAATTTTAAGAAAGAAATTCTTAATGAATAAGAAGATAATGTTTAATCTGATTGTGTTTATCAATCGGGTTGTTCTGTTGTCTCGAACATCAAAGTTTGTCATGTACATTGGGGGGTGCGAAGGGTTTAACCCCAGCTTGGGTTCAGGTGCTCTGCACCCGAAATTTTTTTTCAAGTACAACGCCCCAGTACTATGTTCCCAAGCAACCCGACGCTGAACAACAGAGAGCAGAGCACCACTGCGGTCAAGATATGTCTCCACAGTGGGTCAAGATAGATACTAAGTGCCACAGCACTAAGTCTTAGAGGGCTGCAAACAGAGACTGGACGCCGCAGCTCTGTGAGACAGAATGAACATTTATTTTTCTCAAGGGTTGCGTCCTTCGCGGGATATAACTTATTTTCTCTTGTACTTTCTGAGTATGTAGACATTGAGAATGGTGCATGAGAGAAGATAAGGAATGAGAGAGATATAGAAGAGAGATTTGTACTTGTTTCTCCCAATTTTCATAGTGTATTTCTCGGTGTAGTGTGGCTCCGTGGTATTTTTCCCTATTTTGGGGTTTACCAAATTAAATTCCGTTGTCCTTCACTTTTCCACTGCTTTTAATTTCTTGCTTGTTTCATCATTGTGGTGTTTACTCTTCATCTCTCCCCCAACATTTGGCATATTATTGATGTTCAATTTGCTTTCAAGTTGATAAAATTTGAATATATATATTCGCATTATTTCAATAAAGATGGGTTTGTTTATATTGGGTTGATAGTTATTGAATCCATTCCAACTAGATAGGAGCCCCAATTTACAAATTTAAGAGTAGGTTGAGTTTTATAGCAGCTGATGTGGTGTTTAATCATTCAATTGCCCTTCTCTCTCTCTCTCTCTCTCTCTCTCTCTCTCTCTCTCTCTCTCTCTCTCTCTCTCTCTCTTACTCTCTCTTTCTCTTTCTGAAATTGGAGGCTCTGTTGGTCCTGATAATAAGGTTGGACTGGGAGTAGAAGCCCAAATAGGAGAAAACATTGATTTTCTTTTTATCTTCTCAGTGCTTTCAATGAAGAGGAAAAGCTTTCAATGGAGTACAGAGAGAGAAAAAGGAGAGAGGAATCAAAAGATGCTATCTTTTTCTTGTCTATGCTTTCCACTTTAAGTTTTTCTGTTGTGTGCTCCAAGCCTTAGACCCTGACCAGATAAAGCAGGGGGTTATCACCTGTCAATAGTTGGCTCTGTTCTTGGGATCTCTGAAACCAATGCACAGCTCCTTTTCAAACTCTGTTTGCTTCAAGCTGGGGTTGATCTCTGATTCTGCTTCTAGCAATGGTAAGCAAAAGGAGTTTATGATATATAAGCTTTTCTGATCATGTTTTGCTATTGGTATTTGGATAGAAATTGTATAATATATACCAAGCCCGCTCCTTTTTGAGAAGAAATGAACTCAAGAGCTCAACACTTCATTGATCATTGATTACCTTGTTGCTTTCGAAGAAGAAGAAAGATGGATTTTGGTAAGAAGAGAAAGCTTGGAGTAGAGAACAGGAGTGTAGAAGCTTTGAACTGTCACACTTCAAGCTTTGCTAATACAGATTGGCATCAGCTTAGTTCATCTCTATCCAGCTGGAACCAGCCATCTGATACGCACACTTTAAGCTTTCCCAAGGCGGCAAATGCATCTTCTTCTACCATTGGAAAACCAGTTCCTTTGAACTGGAACCTTTCAGATTCAGTAGAGAAGGAAGAAATATACTTGAGCACGGGCCCAGGATTACTTCCTCTTAGCCTCTCTAACTTCTCTTCTGATACTGAATTCATTGAGAGATCTGCACGGTTCTCTTGCTTTGTCTCCAACGAGTCGAATGCTATTGCTGAAACTCAAATGCAGATGGATATTGCAGGAAAGACTGAAGCTTTGAAAGACAAATCTAAACTGAATTATCACAGCTCTAATAGTGGGAGTTCAAAGAAAGATCAATCAGAACTGGAGTCGCCTATCACAAAGAAAAGGAAAAGCAAGCAGGTATATATTTTTGCTCTGATATTTTGCTTCCGTCTCAATCTTATGCCTTGCTAAGTTGATTGAAGTTATAAATTTGTTTTGATGAATTGTGAAATTTTCTAGTTCTATAATTTGGTTTGGTGTGGTTAGAAATAAACAGTGGCTTTAATCCATGAAGACTCGTAAAACACTCTCAAACAAAATGATTTCTACTTGACGCACAAAATGATAGAAAATAAAACAAAATTTTTTTATAATCTATGTTCTATACAAAATCAACCAAATGAGCCCTTTTCATTCATTGCCAATAAGCAAGTTTGTGGCTATCAAATGACAGGAGATGGAGTTACATAAATCACAAGATACTGCTCAATTGCCATCTGATGTTGCCAAGAATGTTGTTGATAGTAAACAGAAGGCAGAGAAGAACAGCTTAATAATGGCTACAGTGAAGCCTTCAGGGAAGAATTCAAAAGTGGCTGGAGAAGCTCAAAAAGAAGATTACATCCATGTGAGAGCTCGCCGAGGACAAGCTACTAATAGCCACAGTCTTGCAGAAAGAGTAAGACTGTTACCATTTAATGTGGCTTTGATTCCAATCAAGGGAATAAAAGAGCCGAGCTTGAATGAGCTCAATCTTATTTGGCTTGGTTCATTAACTACTGAGTCAAATATGAACAAGTTTTAGTTTGTTAACAAGCTTAAAGCTCATATCTTGTTGAGCTCATTTATTATTGTATCGAGGTGAAGATATGTCAAATATGAACAATAAAATAATCAATCAAGTTGATAACCATCAAATATAAAAACAATATTTTGATTGATGGCTCCAATTACATGGGAAAAGTGTGGTTTCATAATGTATTATCTTTTAAGCATCATAGATCTTTATATAGTGTTTTCAAAGATATTTACCGGATATTTGAAGATTCTTTATAGTAAAATACATGAGTAAAAATGAAATTTACACCTTCATATATATGTTGATCTTTATCAAGGCGAATTTTGCTCATGTTAACGCACACAATTCATATTTGAGTCATCAAACACGCAAGTTGAAATATATTTTTCAAGTTCAGTTCCTTGTATTTGACAAACTAATTGAACAGGAGCAAGCCAGATGAGAATGAGTTGTTTATTGAACCTTTTAGACACTTAGATCCAATACAGCTTTAAAGAAAACTAGAAGTCTTAGTGTTTCTGAGTGGATTTTTCTTTGATTCAGGTAAGAAGAGAAAAGATTAGCGAAAGGATGAAGTTTCTTCAAGATCTTGTTCCTGGTTGCAGTAAAGTAAGCATTACTTCTAATGCTCGGATTCTTTTTGCTTCCTAATAATTGTTTAGCTGCATCTTTTGTTACATTCATAGCTTCTATTCTACAGATTACAGGAAAAGCAGTTATGCTTGATGAGATAATCAACTATGTACAATCACTGCAACGACAAGTTGAGGTATTTTGATCTTTTATGACTACACTTTCTAAGATAAGTTCCCCTTATAAAGTTGAATGTGAACATGTTCTTGTTTTCTTCTCCTAGTTTTTGTCAATGAAGCTTGCAGCTGTGAACCCAAGATTGGACTTCAACATAGAAGGCATTCTGTCTAAAGACGTAAGTCAAAAACTCCTACGAGCAGATCCCCCTTGAGCTCAGGGGGCAAAATTAAAAAAATATATATATTTGTTATATGATTATTTAGGTAACTTGTCCTCCTCCAACTATTTTTTAGTCTTTATACAAGAGTTTTTAAGTAATTGCCCCCTCTAAAAGTTTTAAAATACTATGGTCTTTAGGCAATTATCCCCATCAAATAATAAAGAGAATTTATCATTTTATTTATTAATTGTAATTCCAAAGATATCCTTACAACCAAAATTTGTTGGGGCGTTGTCCCCTTGGAGTCCTGACATTTACTTATAAATTTGCCCCCCCTTGAAAATTAAGGCTGGTTCCTCCCCTGTAAACTGCCATTATGATCTTAAGATAAAAAAGCAAATTCAATTTGATCATTTTTTTTCCTTCTTATTTGCAGTTGTTTCAAACCAGGAGCGGTCCTTCATCTGCCATTGGATTTTCACATGATATGATTAATCATCAATTGCATTCACTTCATCAAAATATTATTCAAGTTGGGATGCCTGGAGTCATGAATCCTACAGAGGTATTTAGAAGAGAGCTAAATGTTCAATTGCCTTCAACAAGTACATTTAAAGAAGCTGCACAGCAGGTATAGCTAATCTAATATATATATATATAAGAAAATGATTTTGATGGTTGCATAAGTATTCAATAGATTGTTGTCATACATAATCTTATTTTATGCTGACTTTCAGCTGGAAAGCTCAAGCAAGAAGTCCTTAAGGATGTAAATAGGCTGAGTATTCATAAATCAAATTTTGTTTGACTAGTTTTAATGAAGCTTAATTCGAGTTAAAACCTGAGATTAGCTTAAGAAATCATGATCATTAAACAATAGTAACAATAAAAAATTTTAAAAATCAAAATAATAATTGGCCGCTTTGTGTTCAGAGTGGGGATAGAATCTTTAGTGGGGATCAAACTCTACAAACCTTCCACTTTTCTTTATATAGAGGGCTAGCAATTATCATATGTGTGGTAAAAAGTTACTAACTTTTGAAATTAGCTTCATTAATGGAGTAGAATAACTTATTTGGTGAAAGGGCATTAATTGATGTGAACAGCTTTTATTTGATCTGCAATTTGAGTTGTGTCCATCTTTGCTAAGTGGCGGAGTATTGGAATTCTTTCTAAAGCATTCCCCGTTATAGAAGTTAGACTTTTGTATTGATGTAAAAGGTAGATTTGTGTTTTTTTTTCAAAAATAGAGCTGCAAGAGACAAGGTATTCATATTAACTATCAAAGATCCTCCCTTTTTCTGCATCAAAATGTAGTCCTACCAAACCAGTGAAACTTTTATTTATGGACATGAAATAACTATTACATCATGGATTATTAACTACTGCAACTATGCAACATCAGCAAATAAACATGCTTATTCATTTGATTTCAGTTTTCTATCTACTTCCTCTTCGTTTGGGATGGCTTTCTTAATGCTTCATAAAGCAACTTTTTTGTGCAAAATTTTTAATTTGTGTACTAAAAAGATGTTTTAAGAAGTAGTATAAAAGCCTCCCCAAACGAAGCCTTCGTGTTAGGAAAAGCAGCCAACAAAAAGCAAGAGGGTGTTTGGATTAAAAAATTGTGCAACTTTTTTTTTCTATCTGCTTTAGAAAAGCTAATCATGGATCAAAAAAGAAACTTTACAAGTTCTAGTTATAAACCCAAAAAGCATAAGCCAGCCAAACAAAGTAAAAATACTAACATACAATACTGATCTTGTTTTGTAATTATCCATAGATGCCTAATGCGTGGGATGATGATCTCCAAAACATTATTCAAATGACATATGGCAACAGTACTCCACTCAAAACCCAAGATTTGAATGGCACACCTCACGACTTATTTCCCTTGTGAAACAAAATCAAGGAATTTCGTGCGCTTTCTACCATGGATGTCCAGCTCACTCATATCCCGATCCGGAGACACCAAAATTATTTGAGAATTTCAAAAGTTCATGTAGAAGATCCAGCATCCCTTGGTATAAAATGTTGAACCCATAGCTAATTTAAGCTTCGTTTGGGACTGCTTTCTTCTTGCTTTTCAAAACAACTTTCTAGTACAAAAATTTTTTGAATTTGAAATTTTTAAGCTAGAAAGCCGTTTTAAAAAGCAGTATAAAAGCTGTCTCAAACGAAACCTTAGTTTGCTTCTAGTTTAGCAGATCAGTGGCCGCTTGGCTATATGATAAAACTCAGTTGTTTTCTTATTTGGAGAATGCTACATAAGAATCTGATGATGTCTATCAGAAATCTAGCAGTTGGGTCTGTTAAAAATTTGCTTGCAAGCCTTTTTATATTACATGTTTATTCTCTTTTTCCTCTTCACAATTGCAGGAAATGAATGCTGTATCGTTGCAGTACTATTACAGAAAGTAAAATAATATTTCAGTTTTTTCCTCCACTGTTCCATTATGTCATTCTATTCACTCCTACAGTTTTGCTGATCTATCTGCTGATAGCCTGATACTGATCAAAAGTTTAAAAAAAAAAACAGCTTTGGCAGCTCATAAATCTACTCAGCAATAAATGAGAGATGCTCTTCTTGTTATTAACAGAACAATATAAATGATATAAAGGACTAATGGGTCCATGGTGATGATTCATTGAAATATGATTGCTGCTAAAGCTTTCTGAGATGTATTATCTATATGAAAAGTTATAAAACAATGATCTGTAAGAAGATGGCAAGGACCATCATTAAATGCTGTTAGGGGGCCAAAGGCCAGCTGCCTTTTACTGCAGAGTTTAATATATATATATATATACATATATATATATATATATTTACAGCCTTTCTATTTGCTTCAAATATGCTCTTTTAAAAAAGACAAGGTGAATTGAAATGGCAGGGTTCTATGGGACTTGAGTTTCAAAATATGAAGTGCATGATTCATGGAAGGAAATGTTTAACTTTCTACATTATTTAACATTGGAAGGGGTTCTTGCATTAAGAGAATATGAAAGAGATTCTAAGAAAATTTTTGTAAACCTACTTAGAACAATTGTGTTATATGGATTTGAACTTTTTAGTCAAATTTATTGTGTCTACAATAAGAACATTAAGTAGAATGTATAGCAAAATTAGAAAATAAAAGAATAAGTTGATTAGCTTAAAAAGGTGAGAAGTAGTGCCTATTGAAGATAAAGTGGTGTAAAATAGGCTTCGGTGATTTGAGCATATACAACATAAGGCGAAAGATAAATCAATATGATGGACAAAAAAAAAATGTAGAAGGATTAAAAAGAAAAAAAATGATGAATCTAAGTCGATATATTGGGATTATGAAAGTGATTATTGGTGAAGCTGAGTTAACATGTCTTGCAATACTTTACTTGATAGAACTGAGAGTGAAAATTTAAAAATCTAATCTTAAATAGCTTGTGATTTAAGTATGGGAGGACCAACAATCAAAATTTCACATGAAAGCATAGAAATTAACATCCCAATTTGCAAGTTCCTAAAAGACAAGGTTTGCTTGAGACAACTTTCTTACTGCTTTTTAAAGCAGCTTTTTAGCACAAAAATTTTAAGTTAAAAAAAAAATTGTACAAGAAAGCTGCCTTAAAAAGGAGTAAGAAAGCTGTCCAAAACGGAGCCTTAAATTTTATCATTTTTTTGCCCTTTTGCATATTCATATTTCAAACCCAACATAGCTCAATAAACCCAAAAGCTTGCTAAAGAGCAAGAGTTCCTTTGATTTGGAGCATGAACAGCTAGACCAGTAATGAAAATCTTTAAATTATAACTTTGGACTATTGAGTAATTGAAATATGATTCAAAATAGTCTGTCTATTAGATTATTTTAGATTAAATTTGAGGGGTTAAAGGAACTATTTTAAATCATATTTGATGATTAAAGAGACTAAATTGGACATATTAGACAATATGAGACTAAAATCGCCCCCATAATCATTTAAGGATCATTTTGACATTTTGCTCTTTATACTAAAGATTCAACATTCTAACCAAATCTATTCATAATCGGAACTCATTCAAATTAAAATTGTAGAGATTCATTTTTATTTTTTCTAGAAATATAAAAATGTTTTCTCTTCTTCAAAGCCTTTTCAATTATTGAGTTTCTAAAATCTAAAAACTCAATATCAAGAGTGCAATGCAAAATTCAGAAAGAAAGAGTTGTGCTTAGGTTTTATTTATTTTACTATTATCATGAAATTGTTTATGTATTTTTAGAATCTAAATGGTCCAAAAAAAATTATGAAATAATTATCTAAAATTAGGGATGACTTCAGGAATATTTTATTAAATTTTAGAATTGCTTTTATTTTTCTCAATTTTATATTATTTTTAAACTAATAAAAATTTAATTATTTTTTGAATGATTGATGAATCCTCATCTTTTATTAATTTATGTTGAGCGCTACTTAAGATATTAATTCTATTTTAAATAAATTATTCTACAAAATTTCTATCCATGTCTTTTTTTTTTCCTTCACGTTTTTCCTCTGATTATTTCTACATTAAATTTCTCTATAATGTTATTGATACATCTTCAATTCTTTATCAAACAACTAAAAAAAAAAGAAATTTGAATGATTCTCTCACCAATTTAGGCTCTAGAAAGAGATTAATATATCCAAATCTTTTAACTCTACTTTTTTATTGTATTATATTTAATATTTGCTATTCTCATGTTTTCAGTTTCTGTACATAATTAAATATGGTATTCTGCAACTGAACTGTGATGAAATTCTTTGAACTCCAGATCACAGATAGTTTTTGAACTTTTAAAAAGAAAAAAAATCTCTGAACAGATCTATAAAGTATGTCGATATTCAGTGAAAATTCAACAAGAACGCAGCTTTAAATCAAGTAAGCCAAAGAATGGGACAGTTTTTTGAGCTAATTATAGCTGTTAATTGTTTTAAGTCTCTTTGGTTTTGTTTTATGCTGACAAATTAGTTCTGCCATTTTATTTTAATAAGAGAAGCTTATCAAATTATTGACTGTTAGGACCCTACAGGGTACCTCCTGAATGCCTCCAAATGAAACATCAAGATAAATTTCTAAAGCAAAATGCATTTGCATCATTAAAAGTGCTTTCTAAAACATTGGTAGGTGCAGACCTCGTTTGGGATGGCTTTCTTACTGCTTCTTAAAACAGCTTTCTAATACAAAAATTAAATTTTTACTAGAAATTTGCTTTAAGAAACAGTAAGAAAGTCGTCCCAAACTAAAAATTAATTTCTAATGCTTCGTTTGGGACATTTTTTTATTGCTTTGATTTTCAGATTGCACTCAAAATTTTTGTTTGAACATTGTTTTTTCACTACTTACAAGAATTTTTTGTATTAAAGAGCAGTTTTCTATGACAGTTTTACTTTCCTCACATGCAATAGCTTACAATCACCTTTATAAAGAGCTGTGGCCGTCCCAAACAGACATTAAATTAATACGGAAAAAGCAAATAAATTTTATAAATATATATTTGAGATTAATTGTTTTTCATTCACTAAACAACTTCTGAATAAAGCAGTTACAAATCTATAAAATTAAATCAGAAAAACAAAAACCTTTCATGCAAGAACAAGGACATAGCAAAATTGCAAGATTGAAACAAGAAGTTACAAACTTTTTTAGCTTTCACTATGCCTTCCATTGATATGAATTTATCAGGAAAATTTAAAAAAAAAAAAAAAAAAAAGAGTGAAGCAAGTTGCAGGATCTATTCTAATAATTCTTCCATGTTCTTCTTGGTTTATAATGCATCGAAATGTTATCAAAGAGAGCATCTAAGGGCATCTCCAACCGACCTCCAAACGCTTGAATGGAGCTCCCGGCCAGCTCCAGCCGAACTGCAAAATTTCCGCTATATGGCTGCGGGTGAACAGTGGGACGCCAATATTGGCGTTGCACTGTTCATCTCCGCCATTTTTACCACTCTACCGAACTTGTCGCGGGAAAAAAAAGAGGCGACGGTTAACTGCAAAAGGGTGAAAAATGCGTTCCATTGGAGATGAAATCACGGCATTTTGGAGTGAAAAATGAGATTTTCGGTTGGAGATGATCTAACACAAGAGAAACCGGCACAATGAACAACAAAATAAATGAAGAAAGACCAATTCAATAAAAGTGAAGAATAAAGTTTACATGATTCGACTTTAAGTAAACCAACTTTCACAGATGCATAGAGATCGAGCTAGTAAGACACTAACTTTTTTAAAATGGTAAATGAAGGAGTACACTTCATACAAAGTTGAAGATACAGACAAATATACTATTTTGTTTAAGTGAGAGAAAATACAATCACTTATGAAAATGAAAGCTAGATGATAAGAAAAATATATTGTTGCTCCAGTTATTCTCTTTCGCCATTTATTGTAGGAGTCTAAATAAGAACTATTCTCTAACATGACCAATCACTTTTTCTATTGCTAGAATAGAAAATAGGAAACTTCTTTTTAAAGAAGTTGAAGGATTCCCCTTATAAGTACTCAAGAAAATTACTTCATTTCTTTTTCAGATATACCCATCTTTATCTTCCTTTTCTCTTCTTGATATTTCTTGTTATGTGATGCATAAAACCATTGATTCTTCCTCTTAATTTTTTGAGTTGCATGATAAGGTGATATATTTGAAAGATAAAATGTCAATGCAAATACTGAGCCCCCTTTTCATTGTATTTTCTTTTTTTGTTTCTCTTTTTTGGTTTTGATCTTTGGATGATGTAACCGTTTCTGTTCCTTTATTAATATATTTGGTTCTGTTAAAAAAAAAAAAATGTCAATGCAACTTTAGTTAGGTAGTCACTACTTTGAAAATTTAAATGTGAATGAATCTTACATTGGTAGCCATTAATCTTAGAAAATCAATTATGAATAGATTTTTAGTTTGGTAGCCACCCATCATAAAAATCAAAATGAAAATTTATCCAAGATGATCCACATAATTTAGACTCCACACTTATGCTTCGTTTGTGACAACTTTCTCACTGCTTTGCTTTTAAGATTACGACCACAATTTTTGTCTGTTAACTATTTTTTTGTTGCTTTTTAAAAAAATTTGTACTAGAAAACTGTTTTCCACAACAACTTTAAAAATTACCTTATCTATAGCAACTTTACAGAACAGTAAAAAAATCATCCCAAACAATGTTTATATATATATATATATATATATATATATACACACACACACACACACTCGTTCCTCCCTCACCCCACCGCTGACTTGCCTAAGAAGAAATTGGGAGAGAGAGGGAGAAAAAAAGAGAAGAGAGAGAAGGAGAAATCAAAATTTTCACTGTTGGATCGCTTTGACGCTTTTACGAATGGGTGACTTTAATTATATATTTATCTTCAAATATTTCAATTTTGACCATTGGATGCTCTTATTTTCTACATTTCCCAGTTTTATTGAACTTTCACTGCATAATTTTTTATTTTTATCGTATTAGATATTCTGGATATTTTGACTGTAATATTTTTGAATTTCACAAGGTAGCATGAAAGATGTTGTATTTTGTATGAATTTTTCTAAATAGAAATTGATAGTTTATTGTATGCATATTGCTAAAATAGGCATTGGGAATGAATACTAGCAATAGCTTAACGCTATTATTGTTATAAAATGCAATGATAATACATGTGTGAAGACAAGTAAAAGTTGATTTCACTGACGTTGGTTGGAGACTAGCTTACATATACAAGATAACATTTTCTTTAAATATTATAGTTTGATGTTATCCTCTAAAATTTTATGCATATTGCTAAAATAGGCATTGGGAATGAATACTAGCAATAGCTTAACGCTATTATTGTTATGAAATGCAATGATAATACATGTGTGAAGACAAGTAAAAGTTGATTTCACTGACGTTTGGTTGGAGACTAACTTATATATACAAGATGACCTTTTCTTTAAATATTATAGTTTGATGTTATCCTCTAAAATTTTATGTGATTCACTGATTGAGAGTTATATAAAGAGTTATTATTATACCGACGGATAAGGAGTAATGATTTTGGTTACTAAGCCAATAGTTATTAACAACTAACTAATTACTAAAAAACACCACTTTGCCATGATTGTTTATTTGTTAAGCGTGATTATTGAAATACATATTATTGATTCATTATTATTGTAGGCCTTTACTGTTCCTATACTGATTTATTATTACTATATATATTTACTATTATTATTATTGTACTTCTCTACTGTTACAATCATCAATGATATTGTTACTACATCACGGATTATGATATTGATTCGCTGATGCTATTACCGATTAAAGATCCACTGTTACCAATTATGGGATATACTGACCTTGTGATTATGGTTTTGATGTCTTTATCGATGCATTGATTCTACTGATTTATATGATTTCTTTAATGTGCAAATAGTACTGTGATGATGATTATTTTATAGATTTAACACTCGTGATGATTTACTGGTTCCCACATCATACTACTTTTATACTGTATGTGAATTTTATTAATTTTGCACTGATTCTTGATCATTAAAACTGCCTTAATTTATTTTATCAAATCCTATTATTTTATGACATGCCTCATACAATGATCAACATTGAAAACCATAGCTACCACCCATATGATAATTTTATATTGAATAAATTACAATTTTGATGATAAAATTATATCTTCTCTTTATTCCCTATATTTATTTGTGATATTCTTCTTCCTAAAGGTCTAAAGAGTGATTCATCGTTTTGTGCATCAGCATGTGAATGTCAGTTTTTGTGCTTTTTTTTAATCGTAAATTATTCTATTCCACAAATCCAACCATCGGTTCATATTTTCCTACGGGTCGACATTACATGGGTCCCACTTTCTCCATACAGAGAACAACACGTTGAAAACGAGAGCTTTATTTCCTTAATTTCTTCTATATATTTTAAGCCATTAACTAACACAAATATTCGCGATGTCGTATGGCCATCACACGTATCAATTACGGTTTAAACGAGTCAATTCGAGCTCGAGTTAGACCTCGAGTCAGGTCTAACTCGAGCTCAACTCCTGAGGCAAATTTTGAAACTCGAATATGAGTCGAGCTCAAATAAAGAGCTCTAGCTTGGCTCGTCCTGAGCTCGTGAGCTTTCTGAAGTCCGGTCTGCTCCACAGTTCACGATCCGCTCGCTCTGTCTTTTATGGTTCGGTCTGAATTCAGCCCAAATATTGATTTTCGCCTGCCCAAAAATTGAATCTTGATCTTCTTCTTCCACCCAAATCCCGATTATCTCCCTCTTGAATCTTGAATCATGATCTTCTTCGTCTGCCCAAACCTTTGTTTTTAATATTTTTTAGGATTTATTTGAAAAAAAATTGTAGCATTTCTTACAAAATTTATTTGTTTTGTTTTTTCCAACTAAAGCTATTGGCTTGTTGAGAATATAAAAGTAATATTATTATGTTTAATTATTATTTTTTAAATATTAATAATAATTCAAGTCGGCTCGGAAGCTCATGAGTCCAACCTCATCAACCCATACAAATATAAAAATAATAAAAAAAAAATCAACCATACAAATATTTGTGAAAGATTTGTTAATGATTAATAAATTAATTTATATAAAATTGAAATGAATAAGATAAAGATGAGTACATAATTAATGTTAAATTGTTATGAAAGAAAACGATATAAGCTGATAATAATATGGTAATAATGGTAGGTAGGAGTAGGATAATTATATTAGTCCAGATATGGAGAACGCAGGTCTTTTCTCGTTGCAATTATTGCTCGGCTTAAACGCAACCTCAAATAGGCCGAAATAAGAACCGTCCTATATTTTTAGAATGTTTTAAATTTATATTTAATGAAATACCTTCAAATCATATTTTAAAAAGATGTTTAATTTTTATTTACTAAAATATCATAAGCATCCTATTTTTTTGGCGAATTTTTAAGATGGAGCATGTTAACAATTACATTTAGCGAGAGAAGCACTATGATAAAACTTTAAGTTGGAGCCAATTCGTCCAAATGTGTAGCGTAGTCAGAAAATATCAAATAGACTAGAGTATGCACGGAATGCGCAAGAATTAATGGCGCATTATAGATTTGCAACATACGATGATTCTCACGTGTTCCTTTTAGAAAGTAAACCCTCATTTACTAACTTTAAGCTGGAATTTATTACAAGTTCGCCAATGCTTATAAGTCGCTTAAGAGTTCTCAAGTTCTTTTGAATACGAGACGAGAGCCTCGTGAGTGATTATGCCACATTGTGGCTTACTATTCAATGTGAGATGATGGACATCCAAGGCTTAGAACCAACAATCATTGAAGTTGACTTAGGGTCTTTAGAAAGGTGCCTTTAGATATGCCCTTAGCCTATAATAACTAAAGTAATTAACAGAGTTTCTTTAACTAACCAATTTGCATATCAATGTAGATGAATGAAATCTTGTGACATCAACTTCTGCCTCTCAGCATTAAAATTATGAGAGATGCTCAATAGTAACATTGCGATTATGAAATATGTAGCATCATAATAATAAAAATCATCAAGATAAGAAAGAAATCACATTATTGTCTAAACCCAAAAAAAAAAAAAAAAACTTCAACTTTAAGAGCCAAAATCAATCAACACTAACATAAGATCCCATGAGATGAAAGAGATTAACCCTAGTTTTTTTTTTTGGAAAAAATTAACCCTAGTTTCACTACTATAAAAATTTAAATAAATTAATATAAAATTTAAATATTTACTATATAATTACACACAAAATCTCCCATCATTGAAATCCATTATTTTTCTTCTTTCTCTTTCGAGCAACAGATGCACACCGAAATTTCCAACAATTGATTGCCCATTAGAACAGGGAATGCGAAAACCTGGTGTTTTGTTCCTCCGCATTCCCTGTGTCCATTCAAGGGGAAACTTGAACGATACGGAAAACCTTTGAAAGCCTTCTCATCCTTGTTCATAGATCGAATACCAAGTGAGAAAACGCAGATCGCTTCTGTTTATTTGTCTGTTTTTCTAGTTTATGTCTTTGATTTAGGTTTTGCCTAGTCAAATTCTTTCTCTTTTTATTAAATCTACGAATCCGTGAAAGTCTATTGGTTATTTGCTTCAAGTTCCAATTTTGAATCATAAAACTTTTTTTTTTTTTTACGGTGATTGGATTGTGTTGCGATGCTTCTTGTTTGCAGGTTCATATTTTATTGCTGATATTCTTTATTAGCTTCCGGTTTTCCCTACTAATTTTCCTTATCTTCTGGTTAGGTTTCTGAATCTGCGGCAATCTCTTGTTTATTCTGCTTTAAGCTGCCATTTCAAATCATCTTCATTTTTCTTTTAACTCTGATTATTGTTACGTTGTTCCCGGTTTTTAAAGTTAATACTTGCTAATAGTATTCTTCTTCTATTTTTCCCTAAATTTCTTCCCCATCTGACAAAGTCTTTAGATCTGTCATAGTTTCTTGTTTAACCTCCAAGTTCCAATTTTAGAATCATAAGAACTGTTTTTTTTTTTTTTTAATTTACACTTATTTGATGTTGTCAATATGCTTTCCTTTTGCAGGTTCATATTTTGTCACTGATATTCTATTTTAGCTTCTGAATTTTTGTGGAAAAATTGCATTTCAAGTGGCCAAGGATGACAATTGCAAGTGCTTTTCCGGAGGAAATGAGCAAGGGAAAGGGAAAGCATGTTCTTGAAGAAAACGCTCCCTTGCTGCCCAGCTTGCAGAAAGAGGATGGAGAATTTAATGAATTTAATGGAGCTTCTTTTCCTGGTGCCGTGTTTAATCTCTCGACTACAATTGTGGGAGCTGGAATCATGTCTCTTCCAGCCACCATGAAAGTGTTGGGCTTGGTTCCAGGGATACTTATGATTGTGTTTTTTGCATTCCTGACTGAGGCTTCAATAGAGTTCTTGATCAGGTTCAGTCGAGTTGGGAAGTCGGTTTCTTATGGTGGTGTCATGGGTGATTCTTTTGGAAAGATTGGGAGGATGCTGCTTCAGATTTGTGTGATTGTAAATAATGTTGGTGTGATGATTGTCTACATGATTATTATTGGTATGGAATCTTATGTTCATTTCTTACATAATTTATAGTTTGCTTGGATTTATGACAGTTCTTTTGGAAGTTTTGAGATTTGATTTTATTGAAAGGTCTTTTTTGTTTTATATTTTCGGTATTGTTTGGAGTTTTTATGTCTCAAAAGCCTTCGACTTGTATTCTTGCCTTAGTCAACTAGTTCGACTAAAAGAAAGCTTGGTTCTGTTTAATGGTAGCATAATTGTTAAACAAACCATTAATTCTCTTAAATGTATTTATAGCTATAAGAGGCCTATTATTATTATTATTAAGGTATTATTGGAAAAGCATCATTTATGTTATTGGCACTGCAATCTAGTCCTATTTTCAAATATAGGATTTTTGAGGATTATCCTTTGTACATCTGATATAATGATATTTAACAATCTAAATTTCTATTTGGGGTTTTCTTGGCATTAAGATTTTCAACCAATTACTTCCCTTGTTTATGATTCTCAACAAATAATTCCTTTTTTTTTTTGCATTTAATTCCCTTTTTAACATTTTCATCCCATTGAATTTGTTTACTTTTCTTTTCTTTTATTTTTATGAAAAATGTTGTTTCATTTATCATTTATTTATCTTCTCAGATAGGTTTCCCCATACTTTTCAGCAAGCTTCATGTAATTGTTCCTTTGATTTATATAACCTCTTTATATCTAGCTAGGATTCCCTCATCATTCTTCTGAATTAATATTATTTTCATTATTTCTCGAGTTGTTTGATTCTGAGGTGGAATGTGTACTTATTTTTGGATATGTTTCACCCGATTTACTTGATTCAAGTATTTAGAGTGTGAATTGTGTTAACATTAATATTTCTTGTGGCCAGGTGATGTGCTCTCTGGTACATCTTCCAGTGGTGTTCATCACTCAGGTGTCTTGGAAGGATGGTTTGGGGAACATTGGTGGAATGGGCGTTTCTTTGTTCTTCTTATAACAACTCTTGTAGTATTTGCTCCTTTGGCAAGTTTCAAGCGTGTAGGTAAAGTCTAAAGTCTTCTCCTGCTATTTGCTGATTTCAATAATTTTCTTAATTGTGTTTCTTATTATTGACAACAAACAATTTTTTAAAATGTATGTTTTGGCATTGACAAAGAGTAGTGCAATGTCTTTCTCTTGCAGATTCGCTGAGTTACTCGTCGGCATTGTCCGTTGCTCTTGCTGTAATTTTTGTTGTGATCACGGCTGGGATTGCTATCATCAAATTGCTAAATGGAAGCATACCAATGCCAAAATTGTTTCCTGCGATACCGGATTTGGCATCTGTGTGGAACCTCTTCACTGCAGTTCCGGTTCTTGTAACAGCTTTTATCTGCCATTATAATGGTATATACGTCTTCTTATTACTATTTGATTATTATAATAGTCATTTTTTACAGATATAGTGATAGGATTTTGAGCTAAGTTATTTGCCTGACAATATTTTGATATTAGTTATTTGCATTTACTTCATTTTGCATAACTTGAGCTAGTACTTGGGTGCCTTTGTTCTCAAAATTCTTCACTTAGGACCTCTTATATGTTGAAAAAAAACACAATTTGGTACCTTAAGTAGATAGGATGTGTTGAAAGGAGGAAAAGGCTTGCATTTTGGCGATATAAGTTTAGAGCGTTATTATTTTAAATTTCAAATAATGGCCATGTAAACTAAACCATTGTTTAAAGAATCAGTCGAAAAGGCTTGCAGTTTGCTAATTTTTTTGGTTAAAGGCATTTCATTGTAATTTTTCTTTTTTACAGACTGAAACAGGCATGAGTAGCACTAACTGCAAAGCTTGATCAACAGTGCTTGGAGTGGAAACTAGAAATTCAAAAAAAAAGGTTTCAAATTAAGTGATTAATCCTCGGACATCCTGTGGATGGATCACATATACTACAGCTCTCTTCTTTCCACTGTGCCTAGGAAATCCTTTTTATTTACTTCTGAAATAATTACTATAATATGTAAACTTGATCACAGGGCTCAAAATTGTTGTCCAGAAGTGTATATGGTAAAGGAAGAATTAGGTTAGAGAGAGTTGAGAAGAAAATTTTGTAGTAATTTATATATTATTAATAAAATATTAATTATATTATAATATGAGTAATGCTACACTATTGACTATCCCACTCATAATGAAAAAAAAAAATCTTAATTTGTTGGCGCACTGAGTTAGCATAAGGGCACTAGATGCAATGCACAGTTACATGGGATTATTAAGCCTCTCTCTCTCTCTCTTGGTGCTAACACATCATTTTTTTGGGGCTTTGAGCAGGGCTGCATGTCATTTCTCTATTACTATGTATGCTCCATTTATATAAATTAATGTGTCCCATTTTTTTAATTAGAATTTTATTTGAGTAAATATATTGTGAATGCTATACCTAAGATAAATCTTTATTTTTTCAAAAAAAAAAAAATTTAATCAAATATATTGTTAAATTGAACTTTCAAAGCATGACTGAGATTTCGTTTGGGACAACTTTCTTACTATTTTCTAAAATAGTTTTTTAGTACAATTTTTTTTTTAGTTACAAATTTTTGTACATGAAAGGTGCTTTAGAAAGCAATAAAAAAACTGTCCCAAATGAAACTGAGTCTGAATCCAAAACTAAGTTTTTAAACCTTGAATCAAAATATAAGCTAACCATGGATCAGGTAATTTTGTATGAGTATTAGTAAAATATGGGACCTTGCTTGTTATTTGTATAGTTTGAAGGACTTTATTACAGTGAACTAGTTAAGATTATCAATTAAATTATCTGATAGATTTCATTTTCTAAATTTCTCTGTTCAGATATTATGGTGAATTTTCAGCTATGGTTAATTTTCTTTACATGAGCCTCTATGTTTTTTTTTTCTACTCATTCTTCAACTCCTTTTACCTCATACTTAATTTAGGATAATGTCCATATGATGACTTATTCAGAAAGTAATGATGCTTGTAATTGATGTTATACAGTTCATAGCATAGACAATGAACTTGAAGACTCCTCCCAGATAAAGCCCATTGTGAGGACATCTCTAGCACTCTGCTCTACTGTTTACATAGCTACAAGTTTCTTTGGTTATCTTCTCTTCGGCGAATCAACCCTTCATGATGTGCTTGCCAACTTCGATGAAAACCTCGGCATTCCATATAGTTTTGTTTTTAGTGATGTCGTCCGTGTCAGCTATGCTTTACACCTCATGCTTGTATTCCCTATGATATTCCATGCTTTGAGGCTCAACTTGGATGGTCTCCTCTTTCCCAAGGCAAGGCCATTATCTACTGATAATTGCAGGTTCACAGTGATTTCAGTAGCGCTTCTCTCTCTCATATTTTTGGCCGCAAACTTTATTCCGAGCATCTGGGATGCCTTCCAATTCACTGGCGCTACTGCTGCAGTTTGCATCGGCTTCATCTTTCCTGCCGCAATGACACTTAGGTGAGTTATAATTGCTTGCATTTCCCTGTCTTGTTTGCTGAGAAATTATTCTATGCAAACGCCGAATGCAGCTTATCGTCCGGAGATCAACCAGAATGTACCACATTAGCAGTACTGAGCATGGTACCGACCGCGGTACCGAGCAGGGATGATGTGGCACATTATGATTGGTCTCTGGACAGCGTTCGTCGTCCGCACAGATAGCATTTTAAAACTGTATGTTGCAGGTTAATTTTTGTATGAATATCCTATAATGTGGCATTACTTTCAATTCATTATATCATCAAAAAAAATACTTTTTTCTCTTGCATTATGTTACAGTAATGGGATTTGAGCGACCTTTTTGAGCATTAACTGATGTTGGTAGCTAAAAGTGGTTCTTCATTGTTATATGCATCATACCAAAAGTGTTCTAGATCTATTAAACATTCTGAACCATCATAGAAGCTTCCCATGGAATCTAGTTGGAGCTGATGCCTCTTTACTTTCAATGTTATCATCAATATAGCTGTGTTCTTTATGAAATAATAATCCAAAGCTCTTGTTTTGTTAAAAATTAAAAGTGATGATAGTAATAATATCTTTTGAGCTTAAAATTTATTTCTTAATTTTCTCTTATTTCCAGGGATCCCCATGGCATTGCAACCTTGCAGGACAAACTTCTATCTACTTTAATGATTATTCTTGCTGTTCTATCAAATGGAGTTGCTATTTACAGTGATGCCTCCTCCCTCTTCACCACCACCAAGGCTTCTGATCAACTTTAAGCTCTTTTATTGAAGATATCAGTTGTTATATCAGGAACAAATAGCTCTGTTCAATTTTGTGAAATAATAATAAAATATTGAATCGACATCTTAGTTGAGATTTATTGGATGGCTATGTAATTCGATATGGAAGGATTCAAGTGTTGTTGTAGATATGAATTGAGAAGTTGAGAATGTTGTAATATAGTTTTAGTTATAATTTGTCTGTGTTGCTTGAATTTGCAGTACCTGTCATGCCTTAGAAATCAGGTGTTATTGAACTATATTGATGACTAAATGGTTGATGATCGATACTGCATTATCTAATTAACAAATGAAGGTCATTCACTTTAGATGTTATCATTACAATTAGTAAGAGGTTAACCTCATGAAAATTTAAAATTTAACATGATTTGATCATATGGATGAAGCATATAAATAAATTTTTAGTGATGGACTATATTGTGAGAAATGATTTATTAATTTTATGATGGAGTGAAAATTAAATGAGGTTTTTTAATGCGTACAAAATAATAACTTAAATAAATAATTTTATTAGATTTAATTTTAAAAAATAGTATTTTAAAAGTGAATATAGTGAGGGCATTTTAAGCTGAAAATATATTTTTTCATTTGAAAGTTCAAAAATGTTGATAAACCTAATAGAATTAGTTTGAGGAGCACCAAAAGGGGAGGGGGTGAATTGGTAATTTTTTTAAAAAAATTATCATAAGAATAACCGTTTTTGTAATTTGTTAATACTTTGAAATAAATAATTTGATCACCCGATGTAGAAGATAAATTTAAACATAATTACAATAATGATGATGATATTTTAATTAACACAACAATGCATTAATCTCTAATTTTCACCAAGTAGTTATCACAGAAATTAAATGGGGAAAACAAAAATCTGAACAAACACTCCAGACTTTTATAGTGATTCGGTCGACCTTGACCTATGTCCACTCCCCGGAGTCCTCCGCTCTAGATATTACACTAACACAGTGACTCGCATTTTGCTTTGACAAACAAGACGGAGAAGCCCTTACAGACTCACTTTCACCAAACCTGATACGGCGAAGTGCTGGAAGCCATGTTACCTTCCCCGGTGACGACAACGAACCTTGAATCATTTTTCTTCCTCCTTGAGAAGACAGAGAACCCAAAGCTTTTTCTCCCTTGTGGAGAAGATAGTGTACCTCAAATCATTTTCTCCCTCATGGAGAAGGCAAAAGTGCCTTCAAGGACTCACCAATGCCACAGGAGGAGTAATGGTGCAACTAGCCCGGAGCAACCATGTGATCCCCTCACACTTCTTCTCCCTCACGCTCAACCTCACCTTCTCCTTCCTATCAAACCCTGAATCTCTCTCACAAGCTTCTCTCTCAAAGTTCCTTTAGCAGTCACACAATCCTCTCTTTTTTTAAGAGATTCTAAAAGCATTGCTTAAGTATTAGGCTTTAAGAATTCCTAAAAAGTCAAGTTGGTCATCATTGTTTGTATAGTATGATTGGAATTTGTACAGTACAATCAGTTCAAAAACTTGACCCATTTAGTACGATGCAAAATGTCATTCAGACAAACTATTCAAATTTTCAAACACATCGTGCAATACGATCCAAAGATCGTTTAGTATGATCTATTTGCTTTCTCTCTATTCGTACAGGACGATTCTTAGGATGATTGAAAATCGTCTCTGTCAATCGTCTTATACTGTTATGATCATACATTACAATTAGTTGATTTCAAGTCAATCATGCAGTATGATATGAATATTGTATAGTACGATTAGTTCAAAAATCATAATTTTGTTTGGTATGATCTTTGGGACGACCAAATTTTGTCTATACCAATCTTACAGTATGATTATGATTGTACAGTAAGATATGTTATCATTAATTAAATCATGATTTGATTTACTAATCACAGGAGCTAATTTAAAAAAGATTTCAAATTTATGTACAGTACAAATCAAATTGTACAGTACGATTAATTTAAAATTCAAATTTTTGGAATCTTATTTAGTTTATTCGGTGGCTAGGGTTTTCATATTGTAACGAATCGTACAGTACGATCTAGATCATAGAGTACGATTAGTTCACAGAACTAATTATTCAAAATCATGAGGATGAAAATAAAGATGAAAGGGGAATAGACAATGGCTTTAGGTATTCCGAGGAAGAAGAAGATAAAACAAGGATTTGACGAATTTTGGCGTAGAAGGCGAGAACACAAAAATTTGATAATTTGGGGGTGAACTGAGGAGGGTTTAGACTTTGGGGAGATTTTTTAATTTAATTTTATTTCGTCTTTAATTTTATTATTAATAAATAAGAAAATTATATATTTAAATTAATCAATATAATTAAAATATAAATAGGCTAATTTTAAGAAAAAAAATGTATATGATTCATAATTAGTCTTAAATTATGATTGATATTAAATTATGATCAAGTAAAACATAAATTATTTGCAAATGTTTATTTACATGAACACCCTTAATACATATAACTTTGTGACATAAAAAATGCCAACTTATTTCTTCCTATAATAACGACCACCTTAAAATTAAAAAAAAAAATAATTAATTACCAGTTGGGCATTATTGTTATATTCTACAGATTCTGACATTTTTTTAAGATTAGAGAGTGCATGAATTTTATGCTGAATATTTATTTTCATAATAGTAAAACATTTTAATATAAATACTTTTAAAATATAGATTCGAAACCAAGATAATCATTTCTTTGATGGGTAACTCAGTAATTTCATTGCCCTGCTTAGCTCCCAATATTGTGTTACGGCCTGTTGGCCCACGAAAATAATTTCTCCCAATAATTGGCCGTAATCTGTAAAAATAAAATAAAATAAAATAAAAGAAGAAAATAAAATAAAAGAAGAGAATTACTTGCTCTTCTCAGATAAATTTATACAAATAATTATCTGAGCTTATCTTTTAAGATAATCCAATGGAAATGATAAGAGTTTGTGCTTTTTTATATAAAAATAATTTTCACTAGCCTATCTTATCAGATATTGATGTGATATTAACTTTTTATATTTAAATCCATATCATATAATTTTATCTATTTTTATATTTAATTTTGTTATTTTAATATTAATTTATATACATTTTTTTTAAAGTTAATATTAATGTTATTTTTATAATTTAATTGTTTAAATATTATATAAATAAATTTTAAATTTTAAATATAAAATATATTAATTCATAAAAGTTATGTGGCATAAATGTAAATCCCCTTAATAAATCCACTACTTGTCTTTTTCTCTAGCAAGCAATCGAAATCCACCCAAAGTTCTCATCTATCGGTGCTCTCCTATCCAAAATCATGCCTTGCGTTTCTCAGTAGCTCCGTGTCCATTTGAAGAGAGACTGAATCATACGGAAACGCTTCTTAAAGTCTTCTTCGATCGAGTGCCTATAAAGAAAACGAAGGCCGCTTCTGTTTATTTTTGCTTTCTTTTTCTTAGTTTCTGTTTCACGTTTAGGTTTCCCTGCTCGGTTTCTTTATATATTATTAAGGTCTTTGAATCTGTGATAGTTTCTTGTTTTTTCTGCTTGAAGTTTCAATTTTGAGTCATAAAATTTGTTTTTTTTACACTGATTTAATGTTTCTGGGATGCTTCATGTTTTCAGGATCATATTTAGTTACTGGTATTCAATATTAGCTTCCGGCTTTACCCACTCAATTTCTTTGCTTCTGGTAAGAGCTTTGAAGCTGTGATGATTTATTGTATATCCTGCTTCTAGTTCCAATTTTTTATCATAAAGCACTATTTTTTGTACTGATTATACGATGTTGGGTTGCTTCCTGTTTGCAGGTTCATTTTTTGTTGCTGGTTTTCTATTAGCTTCTTGTTTTCCCTGCTCAATTTCTTGATCATCTGGCAAGGTCTCTGAAGCTGTCATAATTATTTTTTATCCCTGCTTCGAGTTCCAATTTCAATCATCAAAACTGTTTTTTTTTTTTTTCTTACACTGATTAAATGTTGTTGTTATGCTTCATGTTAGCAGGTTGATCCTTTGTTACGGGTATTATATGTTAGCTTCTGAATTTTAGTGAAAGATTACATTTTGAAGTGCTAATAATGACAATTGCAAGTGTATCTCCGGAGGGGAGGAGCAAGGGAAAGGGTAAGGATGTTCTTGAAGAGAATGCTCCCTTGTTGCCAAGCTCGCTGAAAGGGGATGGAGAGTTTGATGAATTCAATGGAGCTTCATTTCCTGGTGCTGTGTTTAATCTTTCGACTTCGATTGTGGGAGCTGGAATCATGTCACTTCCAGCCACCATGAAAGTGTTGGGTTTGGTACCTGGGATGGTTATGATCGTCTTGTTTGCTTTCCTAGCTGAGGCTTCAATAGAGTTGCTGATCAGGTTCAGTCGAGTTGGGAAATCAGTCTCTTATGGTGGGGTTATGGGTGATTCTTTTGGGAACGTTGGGAGGATGCTGCTTCAGATTTGTGTGGTTGTAAATAATGTTGGTGTGATGATTGTCTATATGATTATAATCGGTATGGAATCTTATTTTCATTGCTTTGCTTTGATTATGCACCTCTAATACGAGTACTCATGTTTGCCTGGCGTTTTTCATTTAAGGGAAGTATTAGATTATCTGGAAGAATTGTAAGCTAATTTAGATTTATATCTGTTCTCTTGGAAATTCTTTGATTCAAGCAGATGATTTCATTTGAAGTTCTTTGTTGGCTATTTTTCATTTTTTCATGTCTCAGAAAAAAAAAAGCATCTATATATTGAAGATAAGGTGATTTAAACTAGACTTAGGAAGTTTGGACATGTATAGGGCCGCAAATGAACCTAATTGAGCTAAGCATGAGCTTGCTTAAGCTTGGGCTTGTTCGCTAAAACCTTATTTGAGCTGATTCAATTATTTGTAGTATTGTTCAAACTTGTTTCGTTTAAACTTGTGATTGTTTTAGCTTGGTTTGAGCTTGAATTATTAGATAATCAAACGAGCTTTGTTGAGAGCACTATCAAGCATTTTATTAGTTAGTTGAACAAACCTTATTGACCTATTAATGAGTAGCCTATTATTTTTAAAAGTGAGATTTTAATTGAATGAACTACTAGATAAATAAGTATTTTACAACAACAACAACATCAAGCCTTTGTCCCACTACGTGGGGTTGGCTACATGAATCCTTTTATGAATAATAACAAACTAAATAAGTATCTTGTATTTATTAACAAGAACAAACTAATATAGAAAAAAATAATACTCTCACATAATCGTATATTAAATAAACTTATAATTGAGTTTTAAATGAGCATCTTATTGAGTTTTAATTGAGCTTCACAATGAGCTTGTTTATGAGCTTCAAATGATATTGTTCACCAAGCTGTTCAAGCATGTTTATTTATCAATCAAGTATTTATAAAATATTCAAGTTTATTTGATTAATTAATTAAATAATTAGGAGCAAACTCTAATCAAATCAAGTCATTTGTAGATTGTTGAGCATATTCATTCATTTGTAGTCCTAGACATGTACAACGAAATGTAGAAAATGCACATTTTAGATGAGTTAACAAAGAGGGCTAGAAAATAAAATGGTAAACCTTAGATTGATTGATACTAGTTGTTCAAAATGGTTCATGAAGAATAAATTTACCATCTCAGACAAAACTCTACAAAAACAGATAGAAAATGAGGATTCAAGATGCAAAGCTTATATAGTTTTGATAAGGCTAATGATGATGATGATAATGATAATTGTATGCTTGTTTGCTTGAGATATTACTTGTTCTACTTTAATTATACTTAGTTCTATGAGTGCGGTGGCTTAGACCCAACAGTCTAAACGAACCATTACTTATATGTATTCATAGCTAGGAGGGGCCTGTAAACTTGAAGCTATTGGAAAAGCATCACTCTATATTTGCAATCACTCTATATTTGATAATATATTTGTATGTAGATTTGCCATTCGTGCTGATTCTACTAACATCTATTGATCTTCAAAAATTATTCTCCATGTTTATTTCACGCTAGTGCCTTTTAACATTTTCTCACGCTGATATCATTGATTTATCTTATTTCTTTATCTTAGAATACTCTTATGATAAAAACTATTGCGTTTATCATATTTTTTTCCTTTTCTCCAACAAGTTCACCCACCTATGTAATTATTTCTTGATTGACATATTCTGCTTTTTTCTAGCTAGTATTTTTATTTTCCTTGATGTTTTTCATTGTATCTCTTTAGAATTTATTACATTTTTGTCCATGTATGCATTATGAACACTGTTTTAACAATTCTATGTGCTCTTTTTATGAAAAGGTGATGTGCTTTCGGGTACTTCTTCCAGTGGTGTTCATCATTCAGGCGTCTTGGAAGGTTGGTTTGGGGAGCATTGGTGGACTGGGCGTTTCTTTGTTCTTCTTGTAACAACTCTTGTAGTATTTGCTCCTTTAGCAAGCTTCAAGCGTGTAGGTAAGTCTTCTCCTGCTTTTTGTTGAGTGCAATATTTTCCTTACATGTTTCTTATTCTTGTAGCACTGCAATTTTTTAAAATTTTTTTTAATGTTAATGAAGAGATTTTTGTTCTTTTTTCTTGCAGATTCTTTGAGTTACACGTCAGCATTATCTGTTGCTCTTGCTGTAGTTTTTGTTGTGATTACAGCTGGGATTGCCATTGTCAAATTGCTAAATGGAAGCATACCAATGCCAAAATTGTTTCCTGTGATACCGAATCTGGAATCTATTTGGAACCTCTTCACCGCTGTTCCGGTTCTTGTAACAGCTTTTATTTGCCATTTCAATGGTATGATTTATCTTGTTTGATTTATGATAATAATAAACATGATAAAAAGATGATTAATTTTGAGCTAAATTTTTTGCATAAAAAATATTTTAATATATTTTTAGTTCTTTACAACATTATGCATTGCTTAAGCCAGTACTTAGATCCCTTTGAAGAAGAGAAATAAATAAAGTGCTCATGAAAGAGGTTAAGGATCTGAATGATGGAGATGATTTGAGAGCCATGTGTGTGGAAGAGGAAAAGGTTTTGAGCTTGGAGAAGTGACTTTAGGATGTCAATTTTTTTGAAGGATTTTATTACAATGAAGAAGTAAAGATCAATCAGCTTATAGATTTTATTAATTGAATTTGTATCTGTCCAAATTTAAAGAAATGTGATTGTATGCAAGTAATATGGTGCACTTTCACTTAAATTTGTTTTCATGATTATCTATTTTCCTTTTTTAACTACATTTTCTTAAGCACTTCTTTGTAGAAATTAACTTACAATGACCCTCTAGAAACTAATGATGCTTATGATTGATGTTATGCAGTTCATAGCATAGACAATGAACTAGAAGACTCTTCCCACATAAAACCTATTGTGAGGACATCACTGGCACTCTGCTCTACTGTTTACATAGCTACAAGCTTCTTTGGTTATCTTCTCTTTGGTGAATCAACCCTTCATGACGTGCTTGCCAACTTCGATACCAACCTCGGCATACCTTATAGTGCTGTTTTTAATGATGTCGTTCGTGTCAGCTATGCTGTACACCTCATGCTTGTATTTCCTATGATATTCCATGCTTTGAGGCTAAACTTGGATGGTCTCCTCTTTCCCAATGCAAGGCCATTATCTACTGATAATTGCAGATTCACAGTGATTTCAGTAGCACTACTCTCTGTCATATTTTTAGCTGCAAACTTCATTCCAAGCATCTGGGATGCCTTCCAATTCACTGGCGCTACTGCTGCAGTTTGCATTGGATTCATCTTTCCGGCTGCTATGACAATTAGGTGAGTTATAATTGCTTACATTGTCCATTACAATTTGCTTGGATGCTGCATTATGGAAGTAGGTGGAAATGATTTTGCATTGCCATATCAGCAGTAGTCACTGGATTTAGTAAGAACTGTGAATTATCAGGCTGGAGTCGAATCTTCTGTCAATGCTTGTTGAATTTAGTGTTTATGGGATTCAATGTTATTTAGATAGCATTATCATCTAGATAGCAATATTATCTAGAAATTGCAATGTTTTGTTCAATGAAATTGAGGCAAGATAGACAGCCAGAATTTTCCCATTAAATGTAAATCTTTGATTAATCTTTTTTTTTTTTTTGTAAGCTATAAGAATATTTTGGAGATATTGTATTAATATAAAGATTTTGAAGTGATCATTTGTTGACTTTAAGAAATCTTATGAGATAATTTTTTAAATTTAAAATATCTTATAATAGCCCATGAGATTTTAAAATAAGTTGCATATTTTAAAAAAAAAAATTATCACCACTATAACTAGAATCTTAGAAGGAATGGTTCAACATTCCACAATCATAAGAAAAATAGATAGATGAGGCTGTGAAAGGGGTGAGAGGTTTCCAATCAAGATTATTATGTAGTAAACCAAAATTTTATTATCTATTTGAATTTAATAATATTTTTTTATTATTTCTTTCTTTTTCCAGGGATCCCCATGGCATCGCAACATTGAGGGACAAGCTTCTATCTGTTATAATGATTGTGCTTGCTGTGCTATCAAATGGAATTGCCATTTACAGTGATGCTTATTCTCTCTTCAACACTGCCAAGGCCTAAATTCAAGGTTGATCTCTTCTGTCCTCCTTTGGTTCAAGTGAGCAGTTGTTATGGTTAGTATGAACGAATAGGACTCCTGCTTTTGGCTTCCTTTGTTCAGATTTGTGCAATAATAAACTATCAAGTCTCAACATTTTAGTTGGGGTTTATTTTATGGTTATGTGTATTTCAATATTGGAAGTGATTAAGTGCTGCTGTAAGTATTAGATACTGTTTGTGTTTTTCCAAATAATGTTGAGAGGTTCGAGGATGTTGTAGTATTTTTTATTAACAAGGATATTTGTTTGATTTCACCAAATTCTCTCTCTCTCTCTCTCTCTCTCTCTATATATATATATATATAGGCTGCAAATCAACCAAGGCAAGCATGTTGATGTTTAAGATCATTTATTATTAGGTTCTTTAAGCTCAATTAAAATTTTTCTATTTATGTTAAAGCTTAATCATTTAAAATGATAGACGTTCATATTTAGTTTGCGTTCTTATTTTTGAGCTTTAAACAACCTTCATCAAGTTATTAACAAGCTATACTTTCTAATACTAATTTTCGATAAAATAAGAACTATTGTAGATTTATTTCTTTGTAAAATCTTGTTATTATACTAAACGACAAGAATGTAAATTAGAACTAATTATTGATTGAAATTAATTAATAGAAAAAAAGTACAGTATTAATTCTTAGTAAATTTACAGATGCAGCATGCTCAGATTAACTTAAATTAACATATGATAGGTATCAGAGTATTCTTTATATTAATATGCTTATCTTTGATGATAATGTTGATGAAGAGATCTTAGAAAAAAAAAAAGAGGTGTATTAAATTCCAAATCAAATCATTTGCAAGCATTTAATAACAAAAGGTGCATAGAGTCCATGAAACTATTATTAATGGAAGACCTGAGAAGAGGGTAGATGTACCCAACTCTTATTTCTAAGCATTTTTAATCTGGACAATATATCAGTTTAATAGATATTTATAATTTAATTTAATTAATATATGCTATAATTATGTAATTTTAAATTCTATTAATCAAATATTATTAAATTAATTAATTATATGGCTTCTTGATGATAGCTTATTGTGGGATCCGAAAATTCACGCCTCGGCCTCTCTGCTGACTCTTTTCTTTTTCTTCGGATCGTTGAGGAGAGTTTTAACATTTAAGTTCCGAGGCAAATTTTTAGAAGACAGATTGGATTTTAAGTAAGACACTACCCAGATATTTTACCCTCATTTTGCGAGGACTTTTTGATATGAGTTCTGATTTTCTATAGGCACAAACCCCTATAGTTAAATACCACTCCCGGTAATGAGAGAGAACTTTCGATTAAGGCTAGCCATCAAACAGATACATAGTATCCAGTGTATAGTAGCAGTAGAGTTTTGGTATTTGAAATTTAATATTTAAAATTGGAAATTCACCACCTTGCACTTAAAGAAGATTATGATGATGAACCCAATCAATATCTCATGGTTTCGTCATCTCGGGTTATCATGGTCTCTAGTCTACTTAGTCAGAGGATGTAGTTGACCCAATCAAATAGAATGATCATTTGTCGATAGCCATGGGTTACTTCGTCCACGGGTATCTTGTAGGGTAGTGGTGTCATTTGGCAGCGAAATCACCTGATTCAGATGGTCTCAATCATAACTATTTATCTGTGGTGCCATTTAGCAGTGAAACCATTGGTGTGGTGTCATTTGGTGTCTAAACCACTAGTTAGAGGATATGTGCCACGTCCTTCTAATAAGAGACGAATTGAAAATGAATACTAATGATATTATCGACCAAACATTAGCTCTTTGTGAGCTGAAATGATTTTTAATTTGTCCACCCCGGCAAATTATTGCGGAGGATGGATGGATATTTTGCTTTAAATATTTGGGTGTTTTATTTCAATTTAAATAACTTAGATTTTTTGTGATTTTTTATTTTTGTATTTTCATGAGAATTTGTGAGGCATTTTTATGTTCGTGGTCTCTTTTGGTTGAGATTTTTTGTAAATACGACCATCATCAAGGTATTTATGGGAAACTTTATCTAATTGGTTGAACCTTGTCAACTATGTCTACTCGTCCATTGAGGATAGATTTCGGTGTTAACTTTATGCCTTCATTAGTGATTTTTTTTAATAATTAACCTTAAAGACCTAATATGAATGTATAAAATAATTATAGGGGTCGATGCTGCGATCGTATATTTTTTTTGATGGTTCGAACCGTATCAACTCATATTTATTCTCATAGAAGGATCAGGCTCAAACGTAAGTTCACCTCTTGACCCACGCAACATCCTCATATGTCACGTGCGTGCATTATGCTTGTCGGGGCCCATGCAGGTATATACTTTCACATGCATTTTTGTGTAATATGCTTGCATAGCAGTTATAAATATGCATTGTAATAGGTGTATATAACATATTTGCATGCATATATGAATGTGTCAACACTCTTTAATGCATGAAGGGGTATTTTAAAATGCTTGACGCTGCTCAGATATGTGAAGGTTCATCATTTTAGTGTATGTAGCATTTTTTTCAAAAATTTATAGACACCTTCTGTCTGCTTATATGGGTGTTGCAGATTTGGTGGTGTGACGCTATATTACGTGTCATTTGTCGCTTTATGCAGGTGGATCATCGTGCATTAACGAGTCTCCTACAAGCTTGCAGATGTTTGTATTCGTCATAATGTTTATGTACTTTCTTATGAGTTGCTTGTAATGTGCATGAAGGTTCTCTCGCAATAGCTCGTAGGTACTTTTATTTGTTGTAGCCCCCCATTTGTTGTGATTTCCTTTCTTATGCTTCATGTTATTATTTTTGGGTGAGCTAATGTATTCATTTTTAGTATTTTGATGTTTACTACTAGTTGAGTCGCATTCCTAAAAATCCCTTCGTTTGTGATGGCTGGTGAACTGATACATTCTCATGTATGTTGTTCATCGTCACCTGCAGGTGGGTTATTGTGCATATCACAAGTGTCCATACTCAAGCTGTCACATCTACTACAAAGATTTTGTGGGTATTTGCAGTTCACTTGTTTATGACAAAATTCCTACGGTAGTTCGTAGGAGTTTATATTTGTTGCAAATACTTGATTTTTGCTCGTGGATATAATGTCATATGCATATATATGTTTATAGGGGATCTCATCATATTTGCGGTATATCTACCACTATTATCCCATCGATATACTTTATGAGTCTTCTGCTCGTCGATGTTTATATCTACTATAGCTCTTCTTTACTTTCTCGTAGATTGCATGTTATGTGTATTTGTATTAACATAGGGTCCATCACACTTGTAGCATATCTATCATCATTGCTTGCAGGTGGGTTGCCACCTTCTTCTGCATTGATTGCAGGGATGACGTAGCATTCACTGCATGTTGTTTGTATTTGTTTATATGTAGAGTTATTATTTACAAGATGGTTGGTGTCATGTCAACATCTCTTGCAACTTCTTTGTACATGTCCGTGGGGAAATCGCTACACTTGTGGCATGCTAAAAGTTGTTATTCATAGGTGACTCGATGTATTGGTTTGCAAGTTAATTGAGGTTCATTGTGGATAGGTTGCATTCATTCCACATATACTTCTTTTAGCAAGCTAGTGTATTCATCAAGAGTCCTTTTGTCAGTGCTCATCAAGTTCTTTTCACAAACCTGCAAGTTGACTGTTATGAACATTAGAAGTTTTATGTTATTTGTGTAGGAGATTGAGGAATTTTCCTTGTCCACCACAAGACTTTGTAGTTTCTCATTGATGTTTTGTGTTTCAATCAATATGGTAACTTCTAGATATTCATTGGGAATTTTACTTTGTTTGATTGTAAGCATGTCGTTACATTTTTCACATGATCCTTCCTTGTGAGTAGCTCGCATTTGATGTTCTTTGTCTATCACAAACTCTTGTGTATTTGCTTGTATTTAACTTTCTCAAATTATTATTTTGATTTAAATATTTAGATATAGTTCCCTGTTGTGCAAGTTCAGTTCCCTGTAATTCATTTAAGTCCCCTGTAATTTGTCTCAAGTTATGTGCATTTTTAGTCTGTTTATTTCTCTAAAAATTTTGCCATGCCAATTTCAAATGAATAATTATGATTTAATATCAATAAAAAATTAAAGAAGAAAATTCATCAAGTTAAAGAAGTAAAGTTAATGGAGTTTGTGATGTAATGGCTTTATTTGATTTCATTTTCACTTTATATTTTTTAATCTAGATTTTTAGATCTTACAAATGATCTTTGTCAAGTATTACAATGTAAGTCACAAGAAATCTTAAATTCAATGTATGGGGGTCATTAACCAAACATCTTCTTTAAAAATTAAGAGAGAGAGAGAGAGAGAGAGAGAGAGATAGAGAAAGAAAGGATGATTCTTTACTCTAAATTATAAAGTTATTTTTTGAAAAGTGAGATGTAAGTTTTCCACATATGAATGTTCTTCTCTTGAAGGTCAAAGATGCTCTTATCATGTAAAGGACATATACCATTACTATGAAGCATCATTATAAAGTTGATATTTTCATAGTCAATTTAAATACACAATTGTGATAAATGATTAGCTTCAGAAACATATCGTAGAGCTATTGATTCTTAATTAAATCTTAGATCCTCAAGATGTATACTAATTATTTAAAATTGATTATATTTATAACTCTACATTTTTTAACTAGAGTAACTGAACATGTATTTTCAGTAAAGAAGATTATCAAGTCAATCTATTGATAATCTAATTTGGAAAATAGTTTTCTTTTTAATTTCTTTTATAGCATACATTAAGAAGGACACTACATTGAGTTTTGAGGTAGAATCAATTATTGATGATTGTGATGTAATGAAGAATTAGTGTTAGACGCAATTTAAGATGCCTAATCCTAATCTTAAGATTAAAAGAAGTATTATTTTTGCTTTGCAGGTTCTTCTTATTTACAATTTATTTATTACATTTTTTTGTTGTTACTTTTAATTTCAATTTATTTTAGATTTATAGTTTCATTACTATGGACTTTTAAAATTCGCACCCCGGCCTCTTTGCAGCCACTTTCTTTCTTTTTAGGTCATCAAGGAGAGTTTTAATGAATAGGTTATGAGGCAAATTTTCATATTGGAATTTGAATAAGACATCACCCAGATATTTCGCCCTCATTTTGCAAGGACTTCATGATCTGAGTACAGGTTTCCTATAGGCGCAAGCCCCTATAGTTAATTACCCCTCACGATAATAAGAGAGAACTTTTGATCAAGGCTAGTCATCTCCTTTTAATTCATAGGGTTCCAATCATGATCAT